AACATGGATGGGCCTGGAGGGTATTAGGTTAAGTGAAATAAGCCAGAAAGAGAAAGACAAACACTGTATGATCTCACTCATATGCAGAATATAAACCAACACATGGACAGAGAAAACTGTATTGTGGTTACCAGGGGCAATGGGGGTAGGGGGTGGGCACAAGGGGTGAAGGAAGACATATATATGGTGATGGACAAACAAAAATATACAACCCAAAATTTCACAATGTTATAAACTATTAAAACATCAATAAAAAAAATTAAATGGAAACCGCATTTCAGAATTCTTTAAATAATTATTGAATATTGTTAATTTACTGAAAAGACATGAAAATCTATTTAGATTGTTGACAGAGAGGACCACCACTGGGTAGTAAATTGAGCTGACAAGTTTATTACCTGTAAGACCTACTTACTATAGCCAAAATCATATTTATGTATTATACACGTGTATATTTTGCAATTGGGGACAATTTATGTCAAAGACCAGTGTGGTTCCATTTAAAGCTGAGTTTTATAATTCAGAAGAACGACATTATATATATATATATATATATATATGCAATCAAGGAATACAAATCAGAAAGAAATGGAAGTCAGTGAAAAAATAATTAGTAAATCACAACTTGCTTCTAATCAGTGATAAACCAGAACAAACGAGTACAAATAATTACTAATTTTCTGTATAAGTATTAATATTAAACTGTCTCCGTGAGCTAATCTTATTGAGGTATGTTACTTTGCCTCCCTAGAAATATATTTTCTCATTTGTTAATCAATGTAAGCAGTACTAGATTATTTTAAATCACTCTCTTTGAACAGAGCTTACATAAAATCAAATGTGCCTGTAGAACTACAGATTAACTCGTAGTTGGGTGATGTAGAAATAGTAGGCAATTTTTGACACAAGTTTTATGCATTTGAATAATACTTAATGGCCAATAGGACAAAACTCAAAGAGCTCATAACCACCAAAAGCAATCTAAATTTCAGGCAATGGTCAGTCACTATATTTTACAGATTTTGTCATCATTCTAAATTTAAATGAACTTAATAGGAGAGCATGCAAATGGCACTAAGAAACAGAGTTCTCTCCTTGTTTCTCTTTTTCCATTTATTCATGCCTCTGTTTTGCTGATGCTTGTTTTCTCAGCCCAGAATGATCTTTCCTCAATTTTCTGCTCCTACTTATCCTTCATGAGTTAGTTAAATTAACTCAGTAAGAATTAAGTACTTATTTCCTTAGGTTCCTAATGATAGTTCTGGGAGGAAGAGAACCATAAGCAGATTATTACAACAAAAGACAAGTATATACACACAATGTTGTGGGCACACTGAGGAGGGACCACCAACTCTACATAGAGTAAATAGGGAAGGACTTCCCACAGGAAGCGGCATTTGATCTGTGTCTTTCAGAATTGTCCAGGGTGAGAGGGAGTAGGAGAAGGGGATCCCAACTGGAAGGACTAACGTGTGTGAAGGCACAAGTGTGAATGGCCTGTCAGTTATGAGCAATTCTCAAAACATAAACTTTAATTCATCCCCTTTTTCTAACTGTTCCAAAAAGCCTCCTTGAATGCAAATGAGAATGATGTCATTATAGGAATTCCCTTGAATCTGTACTAGTGTGTTTTTTAAGTGAATTAATGATAAACTTTAATACTTTATCCACTTTTGGTAAAAGTTATTTGCAGCTTGCTTCACAAATTACATTTGTCAAATCACCTGAGTTTCAGGAGGTAACATGATTAGACTTGCTTTAGAATGACCATTTTTTGAAAGGAGGAGTGAAGGGGAGAATTGTAGGAGGGAAGAGAATAGGCAGAAGACAACCTCTTTAAGCTTGGTGAGAGATGATAAGGACTTGGACCGAGGAACTGATGGTGCAAATGGAGAGGAAGGGGAATTCAGAAATCTTTTAGGTTATCTCTGTAGACAGACAGGAGATAGCATGGCCTTTGGAACAGGAAAAAGCAAAAGGGAGGAGATAGGGGATTAAACTTCAGCTTTGATGTTTACTAGCTGTTTGATCTTGTATACCTAACTTCCAGAGCCTCAGTTTCCCTCATTTGTAAAATGGGGGTAACAGTAACTAAACAGACTTGTTGTAAGGATTAAATGAAGTCAGGAATGAGAAGCACAGGGCCTGTACAAAATAAGTGCTCATTGAGAGAAGGCTTGAAAAAGACTGAAGCTTCTACCTAGGACTTCTGAAAGATGGTAGAGTTATCAATCCAATGCCAAAATACAGAAGGAAAAGCATCTTTGAGGAAAAAATAACCAGTTGAGTTGTGTTTTGTTGAGTTTTAGGAACCTACAGGATACATAGGTAATTAGTATGATACGAAGTTGAAAGCACTGGTCTGGAGTTCAGGAGAGCTGGAGCTGAGGAACCACTTTTGAGTTATTAGTGACTTGAAATCATAGATGGGGTTGTGATTTTTGTAGGGAAAGTGTGTAGAATGTGCAAAAGAGAGAGTACAAGCAGGAATTCTGTGACACACCATACTTCAGGAACAGAGAAATGAATTAGGAAAAACAAGAAGGAACAGATAAAGCAGTAGACAGGATGATTCCACTTAAGTGAAATATTCAAATAAGGCAAATCTATAGAGACAGGGAGCAGATCAGTGCTTGTCCGAGGCTGGAGGTGGAAACCAGGATTGACTAAAAATGTGCACCAAGGCTCTTTTTGGGGTGACGGAAATATACTACAACTGGGGTGCAGTGATGGTTGCACAACTCTATAAATATACTAAAAATTATTGCACTCTGCTGTAGATGAATTTAATGCTATGTAAATTATACCTCAATAAATCTGTTCTTTAAAAAAAGTCAAAGGAGATGAGAGTGAGTAATTGGGTTAAATGTGGCAGAGAGATTAAGAAGGATAAAGACTGAAAATACACAATTTCACTTGTCAACTAGTAAGTAGCTTATGAGAACATTTTCAGTGGAGTGAAGAAGTGGCGAATGGCAGGACTAAAAAGGGGATAAACTAAATGGCAGTGTGATGAGGACTAGGGAGGATGAGCAAGGAGAGGCAAGAAATGTCATCTTCCCATTCTAAGAGTCCAGATGTGAAGGGAAGGAAAATTATAGAGTGGTAGACTTGATGAGGGCAAGAACGTTTGGGCATAACTGTAGACCAAAGGGAAGGAAGCAATGGAAAAAAGCAAATCTGAAATATTAGAGGATGGTTACTGGAGCTAGATTCTGAAGGACGGAGGAGTATACTGATTACAGATTAATGCTGGACATGAGTAGGGATCCTACCGGCCACAGTGGAAGATGGGTGAACATATCATTAGGTTTGGAAGTCGAAGGATGTCAAGGAGTTAGGTTCAATGGCCTCATGTTTTTCAGTCATGTATGAGGTAAGGTTATCACTAAGATTTAACGATGGAAACTGGGGTAAGATGTTTGAGAATCACTACTGAATGGGTGCCAACTAGCGAGCATATGGAGGACCCAGCCGAGGCAGAGACCCATACATTTGTAAGAGTGCCAATCAGCACAACTGTATGATTTTCTGCAGGAACGTCTGGAAGCTTGGAAAGAGAAACTGAGTAAACAGAGTGTTGGATGGATCTGGTATTGGGAATTGGCAGGGTTAGTCAGGTTGAAAGGCAGGGAGTTGAGGGCATGGAGAATGGCATGGAAATGAGTAACCACGAGCTGGTGAGGAAAGAAGGAAAGCCTGATGGGGTAGGAGAGTGAGAGACTGAGACCACTGCCAAGATTAGAAGGACAGAAGCCTCTGCCAGGTAGGAAACAGATTTAGTGAAAGCCGGAAAGATGGAAGGACACGGGCTCCTTCTGAGAAAATTGTTTGCAAAGCTCAGTTTCCAGCCCTAGAGAGGCTCTTGGTCCCAGAGGCCAGAGTGAGCCATGGAAGTAGATCCTGAACTAGAAGCCAAGAAGGTACATTTTTAGCAACGAAGTTGCAGAAAACAAACTCTTCTTTATATCTTCTCTACCATTTCAAGTTCTTAATAAAAATGTTCATCAACAGGATAATCCCTTCAGTTGTGATACCTCTGCTGAAGCACGAGAGTTCAGGACTAAGAAGAACTAAAAAAAAAAAAGCCAGAAATGACAAAAGATGGAGTAAAGATGTGGAAAAGGAGGCAGTGGTTACCCGAGATTTCCAGGGCCGGGGCATGGCCTTCCTCCAGAGTGGCGAGAATTCAGGATATTAGAGGAGAGCTGACAGAGGAGGCATGCGTGGCCAGAACGGTGGTAGTGGGAGGTAAGGGTGGGAGAGTTGGGAGGGTGGGTTGAGAAGATGGAATTTGAACATGCTACCTAACTTTTGCTGGCTTTACCCTTGAGTGGACCTTGCTGGCTCCACCACCCACTAAACCAGCACCCACCTCTCTGATCTGCACTGGGACCAGAGTTAAATGAGGTAGGATCCTGGCACTTTTCTATTACTGACGCTATCTCCAAGAAGCTGGGACCTTTGAGAGAAGGAATCCTAGTGTATTAGAGGGAATTTTCCAGATTACCTAATACAAACAATCAAAATAATGCCTCAGGAGAAGCTCTCAGAGGAAACTTCTTAAAAGGTATCAAACAAGACAAATCTGAAACTGGATGTAACAGCCTGTAATTTCTGATTCTGTGTATTTTAAATGAATCACACTAATTGCTTAGGTATTCAAAGAAATTCCTGTCTTATTTTTAAATAGAAAATGACTTATTTTTAAATCATTTTGCTCTATCTTTAGGATATTATAAATATTTGTAGGCCATAGTAAAAAGTGCTCCAGCACAACTACTTTGCTTATTTGTGTATCTATCTACACATACATATTTGTATTATTTTTTAGTAAACGACTTACTCTTTGAGTCCCCGGATGGTGCCTTGGAGAATAAGTGAGTACATGCACTGAGGAGGAGGATATGGAATTACCCCCAGGGCTTCTATCCCCATAGGAAGCAGGACGGTGGGCAGAGGCCACCTTGCCATGGAAGGTCAGCACATAGGTACCATACCTCCTCTGATGACTTTAGAAAGGCCACATAAGTTTGCAGGACATGTGACCTAGAGCCGATGCTTTCGCCAACTATTTTTAATTCTTCCTTTAGCCATTTAGCTTTAGAAGAAAGAGATGCTGCCTCATCGGGTTCAAATTCATTTTTCTCTGTCATAAGTTTTGCAGCTGCCTCTAATTCATGTGATGTCTCCTACGAAAGCAAAGCACAGGGGGTCAGAAGCAGACAGTGGAATCATGAACATTCACATTTCATTACCTTCTGTACATCCATCTATTACGATTATTAATTAAACTCGTACCAAGGCTCTCCTCAATAAAAGAAAGGCATAACTTTCAAAATGAAAAAAAAAAAAGTCATCTTAAAATGAAAACCATCTCAAAACATTCTTTCACTGTCAGCTACACTTCTTATGTAGAGCATTCTTTTCTGTGTCACGAATAGAAGGAAGGTTATTTGGTATGAAAGACTGTAAAACAAAGCGGCAGAAATGTTTTAAATAGTTTAATAAAATAATTACACACAAGAATTGCTTTACGAAATTTAACAATAGCTCTAGCAAATTCATAAACTAATTTTGTTATATAAGAAATGGTAAAATTATAGAAATTGTTTACTCATTTTTTAACTTATAAAAAATGACATATCAATTACGCAGTCTTATTTAAATCTCTCTAGAAGGGTTTTTAAACAAGTGTAGAAGTACTATATATTAGGTTTAAATAGCCTAAAGAGTTGGGTAATTTGACTCGCTTAGGGTGGCTCTCCTACGTTTTCTTTTGAGGGCAATTTCTGGCACATGAAATCTAACCACTGATTAAATAGATGAGTAGGAATTGTAGGTATTACATATACAACTGCCATAGAAAGAGCCATGTAAAATTTCATGTGAGACCAAGCTGGGAATCAACCAAAAATGAAAGAAAAAAGCTTCACTCTCATCTGCAGCAAGAAGGGATTGCTTGCCTGCTTGTATTTAATATGCTTCCCAAGTACTCCATTGAATGAAGGTAATTTCAATTTTTAAGTGCTGCTTCCAGACAGCACTCTGGGAAAGAGGAAGTGGGAGAGTTTCTCCCCGTGCAATTTCCTTCTTCCTTCTAAAACTTTTAAAATAAAATAATAAAATTGAATTCAGACATATGTTTTATTTTAAAAATTTTAAATAATGAATAAAAAACACCCCATTTAAAAAAATTTGTTCGTTCTGTGAGTTTCGAGAGAGGGCGCCGTCTGTGAAGGATGCTCTTCTGCTGAGAACTGACGGAGTAGCTGGGCCATTTCCTGCCAACTCGGGTGCCAGGAGAGGGCACCTGGTTCACCTTCCTAAACACCTGCCGGGGCAGCCTGGGACTCAGCGCAGGTTTGGAGCTGCTAGCAGGAATATTTGAATCTAAGTCTCATGTGAAAGGGGTGAGAAGGAGCTAGAGAAGGTCCCAGGGATTGGAGGGCCATTTTCTGTCTCTAAACATTGGGTGTGCCAAAAAGATTGTGTTTTTGTTTGCCTCCTGGAATCTGGCATTAATGCATGCTGCTTCCAGTAATTTCCTTTTGTAACTTACTCTAGCAGAAAATCACAAACAGTCTTACAGACGCACTCTCCCTGCTTCCTCTGGCATCCCCAAAAGGAGTTGCCAACATCACCCAGGCAAGGAAAAGGGGCCAAGTGAGTGTTTAATACCAGGCTATAATGCTGAGTTCCGTGAGCTCAAACACCTAATAAACGCACGTGTATACATAAATAATTTAGATGCACATAATAGTAGTTTTTAAGCCATTATTTGCCACAATGTTAATTTAGAATTGCAACCCTCAAGAGAACCAGGATTAAGTTTATAGCTACTGAATGTAAAGAAAATAAACCATATTTACAAAATCATAACCATAATAATAATTCTTGTTTTACTTACCTTAGCTTGGGTATCTAGTTCCAAATATTTACTCAAAATCTTCTCTAATTCAGAAAGGCTGAAACCTACATCCATTGCATTGGAAAGTACTGGACTGATTTTCTGAATTGACATTTCCACCTTTAGGAATAAAGAATATATTGCAATCTTAGTAATATGTATTTGTGTATTATGTATGCATGTGTGTAGAGAAAATAAATATTACTCTCTACATTTCCATTTTACTTTAAATAGATGTATCAATTTTAATCTAAAAATAGTTTTAAATATTTCAGAATTTTATATTTAAATTAATAATGCTGCTCTTCATATGAGGTAATACTACTGACCTACCAACAGAGGGTATATGATTAAAGATATATATTTATTAACAGACATATATTATATTGACAGCAATGAGATATAAGCAATCATCCATGTCTTCTAAGAATTTTATTAGCTATATTACTAGAAATAATAATGTACTTGCTAACACATCAGCAGAGATGAATTTATCTGAATAATTAGTTCATAATCATTCACTGTAAGTTGAATGGGGCCCAATTTACAGGCACATCTTGAAGTAGAGGTCCAAAACCTGGGTATTAGATCACCCTATGGGTTGTTATGTTTAGGGGTGAGGGACCCTAGGGCAGCACCAAAGCCTGTACATGTGACAATAAAACACAGGACACGCTTGGCCATTTATTTGATGAATGTGGGGGCCTATGATTTGATCTTCAGTACACATGAATCAATGAATAAAGTGACCTTTAAAAGATTCTATTCCATCCAAGTTACTTCCTTCATCCCCTGGCTCTAGCTAGAGTCCATACTTTCCGCAGTCAGATTGGCAGGAAGACAAGTAGCAACAGTTGTTTGAGTTCCTACTGTGTTTTCCACTATCACCAAATTAGCTTGAGTCTCAAGCTCTAGGGATTGTGGCACCACAGCTGCCACCATATTTGGAATCTCCCTGGACCCAGATATCAGAACAAGGCTAAATTCCCAAGGTTTTGGATCAATAACAGGTGAGGAGACAATTTAGCTAGAGACATGGTTATTAAACGCCCTCTCCTGTGAGTCTAGTAATTCTACTTGTTTAAGTCAGGCATCTAAGTCCATCGTATCAAATGAAAACATCATTGAAAATTTGAGACCCAACTTGTGCAGCGAGGTTCATTAGCATTAATATCATTGAGATATTACTAGTTTTTGCTATATGCTCCACCTACAAATACCCCTGCTTTCATTCCTCTTTGAAAATACGAAATAAAATTCTCCCATACCAAACCATTATATTCACCCTGCAGAGAGGATTCTCACGTCTGCTTCTATTCAGAATGACCATGTCCTTTGCACTGACCTGGCTCAATAAAGTATGATAATGGCAGTTTATTCCTGGAAACCCCCAAAACTCATCATTTTTGGTATCTATCTATCTGCAGTCCTCATGTGGTATGGTACCATGTGAACTGAAACTTGTGCATACTGGAACCATGCACAGAGCAATGTAAATCAACGACAATCCCAATATGTACATGGTTCAGTTAACACAATTCTGTGGAAAGCAAGGACTGCCTTGGTGTATACGTGTTCAGGGCTGGGGTGGCAGGTAGGATTACATATCCAGTTTTGGCAACCTGAGACAGGGATGGCTGATGAGCAATGGTGAATTATAACTCTATTCTGTTCAGTTATAAAACCTAATGTGGAACGTAAAAGAAGCTTAAGGAGACACACCCCATCCTCCCACTATGCCCACATGCCACAGTTGCTATACTGTCTATTATCACCTAATCAGAAGTTGCATCTAAATAGTAGCTTAAGGAGGACACATTTAATAAAGTTACCTTCCTTAGGTAGCCCTCCACTGAGGCTGTTAATTGCTGTTTCTTAAGAGCAAATTCCTTGTGTGCAGAACACTGTTCGGTCAGATGATCTACTCGTCTCTGAATGCATTCCATCATCTCATGGATGCCAGTCACCTGAGAGCTGAAAGGAGCAAGCCAGCTGTTAGTCCACTCTGCCCCCATATAGAAGCCCCAGGAACAAAGAATATTTGAAAATGGATCTGCTGTTTCACGATAGATATGAGTTGAGAAAAGTTATCAAGCTTCAGGCTTTAGGATGAGAGAAGTTAAGTAGTCCTGGTACAGCAGAGAGCAAAACCAAATTATCTTCCTTTGTTTAAGTCAGTCAGTCCTGAGGGAAAAGATGAGTTATGGGTTTTTGCAACCAGGTCTAATCTTCCTTTCTAAAGGTTTACTTTTTAATATTTCTCTAAGATATTTTGAGAACCTTATGGCAAAAAGCACAGTATGTTTGCCAAGAGTTTTCCTGGGGGTGTTATTTAAAAGCTTGGTTTATCTAAAGATGCTCTTTGAATAGAAATGTGGATGAGCCAATTAACAAAACATTTACTCATCCAATAGGGTAAAATATTTATGTAACACTAAGGACCTTGTTCTCAATGATTACGAATACTCAAGGCTGTATCCATTAGATGAAAACCAAGTCATCACCAAGAATTAGGAATCTAATATACTTGTTCGTAAAAAAGAAACCAAGCCTCACCTTGTCATTTTTCACCTGTGCTGGCCTCATGAGAAAAAGAGAAGGGACATGAGAGCTCATAAAATGAAAATGCCTTTAAAACAACAAATGAACTTAGACTTGGACCCCATTTGCTCTGGTCTACAGATAGATTAGCAAGTTTCCTAACCATGTCCAACTTAGGCCTGCTAGCAATGCAAGACAGTGAAAGAACATTGCTGATGGAATGAGCACTCTTTAATTTTTCAACCTATCCCTGAAACAGAGCCTCTCCTACTGTATAAGAAGTTGAAGTCTTTCATTTCCCATCACTCATTTCCTTCAAATCCTAATAAAGATTAACACGATAACTCAAAATTAATTACCCCACAGTTAAAAAAGATCTTGAAACGAGGTACAGATTTCAGTAATTTTACCTCAAATAATTAATTTATGTCTTTGTAAAAATAAATTTAATTACTAATGAAATGAGGGCAAGAACCCGAATGACTGAGAGTTAAAGTAACTTCACAGGAGTGACAATGAAGTTGCTAAAGAGGTGAGAGTTCATCATTATCAGCTTGAGGATCGTGTCAAATGCGCATGGGATTCAAGCGCATCCCCGTGGGTACCACTGGAGTCTCAGAGAAGTTTAATTGGGGGGAGAAAACGAAACCACTTTGAGAAATCTTATTTCTGACACATAATGTTCCACAGATGTTACACTTAAAACAATTAGTTTTGCATTTTAATAACTCAGAGACAGTGAAGAGTATAATCAATCAATAAATCAGGAGACTTTTAAAAATAAGTCATGATATTTAAATCTGCAAATTCTGTAAAAGCAGTGTATTGGTAATAATAATAGCATTTTACTAGACTGAGTTTTAGACTTTGAGATATTATATGCTAAAAAAGCACTTAAATACCCAGTTGTCCTATATATTATAGGGTCTAAGTGTTCTGTAGAATATGCAAAGCTGGCATGAGAAAGATAAATAAAAAAGAAAAAGTGAAGAAGTGAAAAGAAAGTACAGACAACAAAGTTTGTGAAAGTAAATAGGTAAACATTTTCTAAAAACAATTATTGAGCACTTACTGTGACAAGGCATACATTTTTAACGTTTTAAGCAGTCTCTTTTCTAGTTCGTATAACTACCATGTGATCTGGGTATAAGTGTTATCTCTATTTTGTAGATGAGCAAATTGAGGTGTAGCTTGCAAAGTGGCCACTAGAGGGGCATGGCACCTCGTTCAAATTCACAACTTGAAGGTCCCTCCAGCACAGAGAACAGAAATGGGGACACAAAACCAAATCAAGCATTCCTTCCATAAAAATATTGCTCTTTAGTAACTTATAATTTTAATTTAGATGAATCACAACCAACCAAACAGGATCTCTCTCTCTCTCTCTCTTTCTGTCTTTGGAAGGCCCATTCATTTTCAATTTTTCAATGACCTAGGAGATTCTATCTCATTTTATGGTGATTTGTGCCTTATCGTGTATATCAATTGCATTGTAAATTCTTTAAGGGAAAGAACAACAGTCTATTCATTCATATACCCTCTGCAGCCCTGAGCACATAGCCTTGTAAGTAGTAGATTAATGCATATTTTCAAATTAAATAAAATACCTTTTGATCAACATTTAAGGGAAGAGAAGACATAGATTTAAGGAACAAGAAGAGCATATGCACAGATAGTTATTGTATAAAAATGTTACTAGTAACAGTTTCCAATAGTTTTTAAGCAATGACGACTTTGCCCTTTGCCCTCTTATAGAAGTTTTAGGCTATCTGAAGACTGCTCAATTTCTTCTTTGGTATGGTTTAGCACTTACAGTTAGGTTGATTGATACTTTCCTCCTCTATTAAAAGCCTTAGAGAGATAGACTGAATTGCCTTGTTCCGCTGTGTATTACTGCCTGTCCACTGTGCACCCCACTCTTACTTGTAGCTTAGACCCCGTGCTAAGTAAGAGAAGTTCTCAATTACCTTGCTTACCCTAGCCAGCTCCTATTTTCCTCTCTCTGTGTCCTCAGCTAGATCATCTCTGTCTGATCGGGCATTAATCTCTTCCCTCTCCTAATTCCCAATTGGAATATACCTGTCATGCTCCTAACCCCAGTCCCGCTCCCATTCCTTCTTAATGAAAACTTAATCTGCAGGTCAGAACCAGCCCTAATTCCATCATTTTCAATTAGAAACTTTAAACACTGATTTCAAACTTTTCTTCTGAACATTTTAAAACATGTATAGCATGAATATTAGCAATTTCCTTGGAGCTTGAAAAAATGGTTTGATCAATGGAAAAATATGACCTCACTCTCTGCCAGCAATTCTTACATGAACTGAAAATAAATTAATAGAGTTCCATCAGTCACCCAGGAATGAGTCCTATTGCTTCACAGTAATATTAAATAAATGATGGGACAACAGCTCAGGGCGGACAACAGAAACTTGGTGGAACAAAGCGCCCTGTCATTCTGTTCTGATTCTGAAGACACACTGCTCATGTGCTGCCTGATTGGGTGTGAGAGGGGCTAACAGGGGACTAAATTCTAGATCTAACAATCTGTGGCTCTACAGTTTGCTTTGGAAATACTGATTGACCTTTGGGCTTTCTCTATAAGAATGGATTAGATGGTGCCTGTCTGTAATATGAGCATGAGGTACATCAGAATATTCCTGATGTTGACTTTGACTTTTCCAAGCATTACAGATACTCAAAAACGACAGACTGTGAAGGCTTCTTCAGACGTTTGTTAGAAATTCCATCATGGGAGCATTTTCTCCCCTAACCTTTGAACCAGTAGAGGAGAGGGAAGGGGGAAGAAAAATGACTGATTTTTCCCCCCCAAAAGATCAGAGACTTCTGGCTCAAAAATAGACTGTTCTATTTGCTGTATGAAAGCAGTTGCCCTGTCTTTGCATCTGTTGCAAACTGGGGCTGGGGGAGGGGAGCAAATCCCCTTAATGTGTTCTAATGATTCTTTCCGGAGAACGGCAAGTTGCTTTCAAACCTTTCATAAATTACTATTGGCAGCCCATCTGGATTAGGAGCTGAACCAGATGGTAAGCACTTGACGGTTTACTCTATCTCATCAGAAGGAATCAGCTGATCTTATTTTTCTTTCTGACTATGGACAAATTATACTTTGAAAATGAAAAAATTCTTATTTATCTTTAGCATGCTGCTTCTTTTGACAGGGACACAAACAGTGTCCCTTCATGTTTATGATCTTTATTTGGGGGGAAACAATGGCCACTCTCTAGTTTTCATCCCTACTTTGAAAAACTGCCATTCATACTGTACAAATGAAATGCATGTTTTTACAATAATTTTTTTTCTGACTTAAGTGATACATTGAGAATCCCTCCCCACCAAACAAATATTACACACACACACACACACACACACCTTTTATATACACATAACAATGAAGAAACAGAAAGTAGTAAGCGGAGCTGAAGCTACAGGGCTCCTGGGTCCTGGTCCAGATGCATGCAGAGATGGCCACAAGTTCCATTCCTATGAGGTCATAGAGACCAAAATATGTCCTATGTGAAGGGTACCATAGCTAGGATTCCATCTGAAATCAGTAACTGAGATGGGGTTCTCCCTCCTTGTGAAAGGAGGTTTAAAAATGCTAGAGACAACTACTACTGGACCCAGGAATCAGACACAGCAGGGCAGTTAGGTACCACCCCCAACCTGGTTTTCTGGCTGCGTCTCTGAGAGCCATAGTATCTCCATGGGAGCTTGTGCAACCTGATCAAGCAACAGAAGACTGAGTCTGGACTGGAGACCCTGTGAGTTCCGGGGGATGTCATTGCAAAGCTGTTAAGGAGGAAAGAGTCAAGAGAGAGCAAAGCAAGGAGAATAAAGGCAAAGAAAGAACACCTCCCACTCCAGGTGAGAGTATCATCTAAAATTTCAGAACACATGAGGAAAATAAATCCGAAGAAAAGACACTCAATAATCAGGAGATAAATGTACTCTATCTGAAAGGAAAATAAGTAGGGCAATCTGAAAATAACTTTAACATAAAAGTCTGAGATCGTCAGAGAGATAAAGGAAAAACCAACAACCATAATAACAGAACAAGAACTCTGAAACAAAAACAGTCAGAAATAAAACAAAATTGGATGCGAAAAAGAGTGTTAGAAATCCTAGAAATGAAAACAACATAGTTGTGAAAACTAAAAAACAAAAAAGTAAAAATAATGAGTGAAAACAAAGGGAAAATTAGCAAAAGAGAAAATTAGTCTGAGGGATTCATTGAGAATGCAATGCAAAGAGCTAAAGGAATGACAAATAGGAAAGACAGTTCAGCAGCAGACTGGGAGGATCCACCATCCTTCTACTAGGAGTTACAGGAGAAAAGAGAGAGCGAAAGAAAATCCGCTTTTAAAGAGATAACTGTTGAAAATTTTCCATGATTAACGACATAAATCCTC